ATCGCCATAGTATCTGAGCACCTCACATCACAGCCTCTCGGTGAGGTAGAGCAGTGCTGTTAGCCCCATCTGTGCAATGGGGCACTAAGGCACAGAGAGAGTAAAGGCCAGATTTTCAAAGGTACTTAGGCACATAGTGGGATTTACAAAAGTACCTAGAAGGCTAGGTGCTTTGTAAATCCCACTAGATGCCTAGCTGCAACTTTTGGTGCCTAAAAACCTTTGAAACTCTGTCCCCAAGGCACTGGCCTGAGGTTATACACAAAGTCCATCAGGGAGGGGAGTAGAACCCAGATCTCTCAGGGCTAGTTCTCTATCTACTGGATCAGCCTTTCTCTCTGCTGCATGCTGCAAAAAAGGGTACGTCCAGACTACCCGCCGGATCGGCGGGTAGCGATCTATCTATCGGGGATTGATAGATCGCGTCTCGTCTAGACGCAATCTATTGATCCCCGAACATGCTCCCGTTGACTCCGGAACTCCACCATGGCGAGCAGCGGTAGCGGAGTCGACGGAGGAGCCACGGCAATTGATCCCGCGCCGTGAGGACGGGAGGTAGGTCGATCTAAGATACGTCGACTTCAGCTACGCTATTCCCATAGCTGAAGTTGTGTATCTTACATCAACACACTCCCCCCGCCCCCCTGCAGCGTAGACCAGGCCAAAGAGGACTCTGATCCATGGGAGCAAAACCAAGGTAGCCAGTTCTCTGAGACTCCAGCAATTGGTCCCAGGTGATTGGAAAGGATGTCATGGTTGACAGTGTGAAAAGCAGCACAGGAGTCAAGAAGGATGAAGAAAGAAAGAGAGAGAAAGAGAGTCAGATGAGAGGAGAGCACTTAACTGCCAATGGGTGGCAGGTTCTGCCCCAAGCTGAGTTGTACAGCAATGCCTGCTGTGCAATTTTAGATTTTAACTGAAAACCATTTTGTTTTGTCTTTTTTTGTTCTGAGTTTGAGAAAAGGAAGGAATGAGAGAGTGTCGTATGAGTATCAGATGTGATTATACATCAGATTAGGGTTTCAGCTGTATCCAGGCCAATTCCAGAACAAAGAACAGAAATTGCATCCACAGAGTGGATAAAGTCAATGGTTATTGTCATGATATGTATTATTCACTGGGCACCATCTCTGTGCTCAGCACTGTTCAGAATGTGCCAGAAAATGTAGTTCCTAAGCCAATGTGTATAAGCTGTATAACTCTGGATAAGATGGCTCAGATACTTAAATATGAAGTGTATAGTTATTGACCATATACTATCACATGTTCACTGTGATGTTAATATTTATGAGTGGAGGCCCTGATGGCAATAGAAGTTTTACTTCATTAAAGACTAGAAGATTTGACCCTCCAACTTTCTTTCAAGAGGAAGAGCTGCTTAGAGATCCTATGCCTGTTTATTTTCCCTTCCTGCCTGCAGTGGCCCTGATATACCTCAGAAGTCTCAATTTTTTTCTCAACTTTAAAATGGGGGATTTTCTTGGTGTTTGGTTTTAAATATTCTCCTGTGAAAACTGCAACTCAATCAATGTAGTGTTGTTTTTAAGACCCTTCTGGAACGTAACTAGCCTTTAAACAGAAGTGAAAGCAGTGTTGCCAACTCTCATGATTTTGTCATGATCATTATTGTTTTCCTTAAAGTCCCAGCAGCTGGAGTCAAGTGGATATGTGATGATTTCAGCCTTCATGTTGGGGGAGGGATAAGCTCAGTGGTTTGATCATTGGCTTGCTAAACCCAGGGTTCTGAGTTCAATCCTTGAGGGAGCTATTTGGGGATCTGGGGCAAAAATCTGTCTGAGGATTGGTCCTGCATTGAGCAGGGGATTGGACTAGATAACCTTCTGAAGTCCATTCCAACCCTGATATTCTATGATTCATTCTTAAAGAAAAAGTTTCTAGCCCTTGTGGCTGTGGAGAAAGCTTAAAAATGTGACCCTGGGGCACCCTAAAGGCTCAAAAAGCAGCATGCAAATAAAAAGAACACCAGATCTATTATTTTTACATAATCTCATTATTTTAAAGACAATCTCATGATTTTTGGTGAGCTTGATTCATGATTTTTGAACATTTGGGATTGGAAATATTATGAAAATGACTTGAAAGTGTCAGTTTCACTCCTGTTTAAAGTCAGTTTCTAGTCTATTTGTAGTGGGGTAACACTCCTAGAGCCCCAGGCAGTTGTAGTATAAACGCTTGGGGCCTTGCCCTAGTATGATGTTTCCAAAAGTTAAATGATCTATTCCAAACTTGGTGAACTGCAAAAAAATGATAGAAAGTAATCTAGATTTTTCTACAATTGTTTCAATTGTTGTATTCAAGAGTTAGTAACAAAGTAAGTATAAGGCGGTAGCCGTGTTAGTCTGTATCCACAAAAACAACAAGGAGTCCGGTGGCACCTTAAAGACTAACAGATTTATTTGGGCACAAGCTTTCGTGAGGAAGAAGTGAGGTTTTTTACCCATGAAAGCTTAAGCCCAAATAAATCTGTTAGTCTTTAAGGTGCCACCGAACTCCTTGTTGTTTTTGTAACAAAGTAGGTTTAAAATTTTAATGTATAATCTTAACTAGTGTCCCTTAAGTGAATTAACACAAGATGTCAGAACATGTTAGTATTAGAGGTGAGTGGGTCTAATATTTATTTAATTTTCTTTCTTTATATAGGAATTAGATACAGTACACCTTCAGATAATTTCTAAGTTATTATCTGCAAAAAACCAAGAGTTTTCAGGTGCCCAAGTAGCCCCTGGAATCACAATTAAAGTTACCCCTCCCCTCCTACCAAAATCTGAAATGGCACCACTGTATGTATCAAACTCAACAGGGAGTTAGACTAAAATATGTGTATTTATAAATAGGGAGACCATATTTTCCAAAGAGAAAATGGGACACCATCTGGGGCTAGCCTGAGCCCTCCCTCCCTCCCACTCTGGGCTGGCCCAATCTGCTCGCCTGAGCCCCTATTCTCCCCTGCGCAAGGCTGGGGCTGTCTTTGCTGTGTGCCCATGCCCTGCCTGCTCCCCCGCACGAGGATGGTGTTGGCGTCACTGCTCACCCAAGCCCCTGCCTACTCCCCACCAAAGCCCTGCCTCCCCCCTTGCATGGGGCTGGCATCGCTGCTCCTGCCCACATTCCTCGGCACCCCACTTTTTTGACACAAGTGGACATTTGCTCATGTGATCATCTGATCAACTGGCAAGAGCAAACGGGACAAATGCCCAAAAATGTCATGAAGGCCGGAACTGGGCTTAAAAAAGGGACTGTCCCAGCCAAACCGGTTTGTGTGTGTGTGTGTGTGTGTAAAAGGCTTTAAGCTGTATAAAAAGGGCTATATAAAAGTTTGGTATTGTTTTCACAGGATGTGTTCACATTTCATATTCACTCTATTAGGTACTAGGATAAATCTCCCATTTTGTTCTTTGAAATGAAACAGGTATGTTCTCCCATATACAGACAGCTGTGTGTGTGACAGAGGAACTAACAAAGACAGAATTCTTTTGTACAGTGTCTTCTTTTGCCAACTAGAAGTCTGACAGGCACCTCCACAAATATGGAGTTTTCTCTGGCTCACACACTCTCTCTCGCTCACACACACACCGGATACAAAGAAATGAACTGGAGTCAGGCATAGAAGCACGTTTGCTGGGCTTCAGCAGAGCAGTACTTTAGCTATTGTAACAATTTTATAGTAAAGTTTCGCACGCCCTGCAGAAGTTTACACGCACGATCTGGAATGTACACCCAGGAGAAAGGAAGGCTCGGAGGAATGGCTTCTGGAGGAAGGGCTCGGATTAATTGCAGCCCCTGATGTTGATCTCTTTCCGTTTCTTTCAGCTTACCCTCCAAGTCACTTTCACTTCGCAGCGGGACACCCCTCTATAGAACGCTCCCTGGAGCTTAATTACATTCGCTGCCACTACGTGTCGCTGTTGTCAGCGCCTGCCTCGGGGATGGCACCGTGTTCACAGCTTGCCTGACTCCCGAGTGTAGGAAGGGAGGGGCGAGGGGAGCGCTCTGGCTTTCCAGCTCCAAGCTTCACCTACCGATCGAAGTACACAGGCACTGGGGGGGCGTCCCCTCTCCTGCATGGAGAATATCCCACCGCTCGATCCAACTTTCTATTTGTCGTTTCGCTGCTGCGAGGGTGAGGTTTAGCCACACAATAAAAGCAAACAGAAAAGTTCAGCTGGATCATGTTTCAGCATCACCCCTATCCCCCTGTTACTGTGTTTCTGAGGCAGGGTGGGTGAGTGTTAATTTGGCAGGATCCAGGCTTAGGGGGAGGGTTTTGCTGGGTGTCTCAGGGGGGAGGCACCGGGAAAGCTCTCTGCCCCGCGGCACTCCCCGCCATGGGGGGACCGGCCCCGCTCGGGACAGAGCCCGCGTGGATCGCGGCGCCTCTCCCCCCGGGCTGGGGCGGGGGGGATTTCCAGTCACGGCTCCTAGCGCTGGAGAATTACCCTTTACAAGAATAACGGAAGGAGGCAGATGCCGGCTCCTTACCACCGCCACATAACCGCAGGCTTCCCGACTGAGGTGCAGCCCAGCTCCGCCCCCCTCCCCCAGACAGACGGACGGACAGAGGGACAGAAAGTTCCTGGCAACCACGCAGCTTCCCCCGCGCCCCTGGCAAGTGACAGCCAAGGCGCGGGGTCCGAGGGGGGCCGGCGGACGGGGCGCGGCGCGGCGGGCGGGCGATGCCTAGTTCAGAGGCGCCTCCGCGCCTTCCCGGTTAAAGGCAGGGCACAGCCCCGCTCGGGACCGGCTCCTTACGTCGGCGCGAGGCTGAGGAGCGAGCGAGCCTGCACTGGGGAGGGGGGGCGCCGGGTTGCCAAGTGGACTTTTGTTGCTTTCCTCCCACTTGCGAGTGAGTCGATCACATCTGCCGGAGCCGCCGCCTCGTGTATGTCCCGTAGCCTATATAAGCTGCGGCGCCGGCCGCCATGGAGTAGCTTGTGGATGCAGCCTGTGCACCGGGACAGGACGGGACGGGGGGCAACAGGGAAACTCCGGGACCGCGGGCTGCTCCTGCGTGGGGGGCGTGAGTGAGGGCAGCACCTGGCCGGCGCTGGGGAAGGAGAGACAGGTAACGGCGGTGCCGGGCTGGCGGGGCCAAGCGCTTCCCGCGAAGTTCAGACCCGGAGAGCCGGGCGTGCCAGGGATCAGTCGCGGGGCTGCTGCCGGCGGGGGAGGCATGGAGGAAGCTGGCTCCTTCCCCTGTCCGGGCGCTATAGGAGCGGGGTGGGGGGGGGGGGACGAGAGCCGCTGGGCTCCCACGTGTCTTCCCTGCCAGAGGCTCGGGGCAGACTCGTGCACAGGCCCCTGCGGTTAAACTGCCCCTGGTGCAGGAGCTTCTCGACTTCCCTAGGGCAGGAGGGACGGACTGCGCTGGGTCCCCAGGCTCCGCCAAGCCCGGGAGAGCAGCAAGCACAGCCCTCCGGTGGGGCTGGTGGCCGCTCGTTTGCAGCCCCTGGGGAGCAGGCTGCCTCTCGGCAGTGCCTCCCCGCTGGCCGCGGGTCCCCAGCGCCGTGCTGGTACCGCAGCGTAGTGGGAAGCAGTGACTGCGCATGCCGGGGGTTTAAACCTTGGAATGGCTGGGCAGTAAACGCGCTGTTTGGCTCTAGAAGTCAGAGCGCGTGTTAAGGTGCAAGTTTTCGAAAAGTTTCCGCAGCGGGCTGGTCCCGGCCTCTCGCTGGGCAGACAGGCGCGTCTGTTTACACAACCGTCCGCCGTCGGCCCCTCGTGGGCTGGGATTTACTCTGCTGTGTTTCAGCACTCAGGGACTGTCCTCTGCCGCTGCGCTGGAGATAAGAAGGGGGGCGGGAGAGGAAGGGCCACGGGAGTCCTAGGAGTGCGCTCCTCCGTGCAGCAGCCGCGCTCTCTCCACCGGTGTAGGCTACGGTGACGTTTAAGAATGCCCGTCCTCTGGATCGGTGCGAGGAACGCGAGTCCCCCTGGGCTGCGCGCTTCGGCGTCAGCACTGGCTGGACTGTGTAAAACGTGAAGGCAGCATGTAGCTTTCGGGCGGCTGAGCGGCTCTCCAGTCGGCACTGCAGGCGAGAATAAAGTTGCTGCTGTCAGGAGGGCAAGTAAAAGGCAGATTGTGCCATCTCCTCAACTGGTGCAAATCCTCTGACTTCACTTGAGCTCCGCCAATTTACACCAGTTGGGAATCTGGTCCATTTTAAAATCTAAGGAGGTAGTGGGAGGGAGGGAGGAAACAAGGCACCCTGATTACATAATATCCAAAGTAGCCTCTTTGCTCTTCCCCTGTAGTATTTCTGATTTCACCCCCGTGACTCTCCCTTCCCCCACCCCATTTTTCTCTTTCAGTGAAATAGGAGTCCCCCCCAAAGTGGATCATTTCTTTTCCTCTGCTCATTCACCCTCCAGTTCAGACTTGCAATGAGCGGACTGAAGTCTCCTGTGCTGCTGGGGCTGGTGCTCTTAATGCTGTCAGCAGGTTATTGCAAAGAGAGAACTGACTCCATAGACCTAAAAGACAGGCAAAGCCTCTTCAATCTCATCATGGAGATTATTCAGGAACTGAAAAGGCACCACATGGAAGAGGACAACGGGGTGCAATACTTCTCCAACCACGATTATACTTTAGACCGAAGAGAAGTAGCTGATTACGGAGAGTACCAGGACGAGCAGAGAGCTGGTAAGTCTGCTCCTTTCCGGGCAACTGCTCTCCTTGAAGGGGAAATCAGGCATCACTATACTAGTTCTTATAGGAAGTGCTAACCCCTCAGGAGATCTGCAGACTTGCTTCAAAAATACAGAGGATTCCTACACAAGAAACTGGCTTTGAAAATCACAGAGTAGAATTCCATTCTCACTTCAGTTTAACGTACTTCAGAAATGCATTAAGTTCAAAGCCAGACCTGCATGAGCTTTGGCTTTATACACTCTATATTTATAAAGAAGAACAGTGAGATGGACTGGGGTAAAAAAATCAGGGATGAAAAGGCCTGCTTACCCTAGGTCATCTAGTCCAAGGGCCTGGAGTCTTGTGGATTATACAGTTTTAAACATCCCTGGACTTGACCTTCTTGCCATCCCCCTGGGGAGACTATTCCACAACTTAACAGATCTCACAGCTAGAAGTTTTTCCTGCTAGGCAGCCTCATTCCCCTTTTTGATAACCTTATTCATCCCTTTAGCTTTTTGGTGCTTGCACCTTTCAAATATTTGTCAATTTCATCATTTGTCCCTCACCACCAGAGTCAACCCATGCAAATTTTAATTCTTTCCTTCTAAATCAGTCCCTACATCATTCTAATAATTTGAGTTGCTTTTCTCCTAGCTATCTCCAGTCAATATTGTTTCTGGTAATAAGGTTTTTCAGAATGGTATGTAATATCCCAGATGCAGTCACATCAGACTGATGTAGAGAAGGCATGGTTATACTGTATGCCAGTTTCATGATGTCCTGCTTCTATGCATGCAGCTCAAAATTGAATTGGTCTTTCTTGCTTCCCTATTGCACTGTAAATTCATGTCTAGTTTGCAGTTCACCATCTCTCCTAAACAGAATTACTGCCTCTCAATTTTCCCCTTCCCTTGAGTATCTAGGTTTGGGATTATTTTTCACTAGATATGTCAGTTTACACTTTCCCGAGCTGGATCTCATTTTGTTATTTTCTACCCATCTCTTTTGATCTCTCTAGACCCCTGTGTATCTTTTCTTTGTACTCAATGGTGTTCACAACTGCTCCTAATTTGGTGTCATGACTGTCATTAAAATGTGATTTTAGTCTCTTAGCTAGATCGTTAGTGAAGATATTAAATAAAACAACCTAACAGTTCCCCATAAACTAAGTACAATAAGAACGTGTTCCTTTTTCTTAATATATGGTACAAGCTTAATGGGCCAGAGTAACCAACTACTCTGTACAACTGTAGCAAAGCAAAGCAGCTGTAAACCCAGTTTAACAAGGAGGTTAAAAAGAGTTTATGGCTGTCCTGCATAAGCAAATCAGTTTAAAGCATCTGGCGAGTACTGGTGAATATGGCTCAATGAGAAAACCACTTCAGAAACAGACTAGCTGGTACCAGTGTCATTGACTCCTGAAAGGGATGTTTTATTATTATTGTTATTATAATGGAATTTATTCCCAGCAAAGCTGCTGCCACTGAAAAGAAACTATTGCTTAGAGCCCTCCTTTATTTCAGTCTTAGCATCACTTTCCCAGCGCGTCTGTCCCATGGGAAACTTCTGAGAGAAGCATGTAAGCTTTTAATGCTCGTCATGACACAATTAGGTCAAATATGATATGGTCAATTTTACTCAGACTGACTAAAGTTAGAAGTAAATGAAGAATGACTTTTGAGAAATGTCTAAGCTCACCAGTGAATCAGAGCTGGGTGGAAATGTTCTCTGCTTTAAATGTGATAAGAGGTGCCAGGGGAATGAAAAGGCTATTTAGGCATTTATGGTCAAATAAATAAAGTACAGTATCATATGCAATCAACACTAAGCTGTCGGCATAGAGTTAGTAACTGAAAGTGATCAAAGATAACTGTAAATCAACAGGACACAAATAAGAGTTGATGCTAACATGGATTTCAGGAAACCAGTTTCATTTTGGCATCTGCTGAACACAAAATGCAGTGAAGCAAACCACAAGAGTGGGGAAAAGTAATTTGTTTTTATATTCCTGTGAATTTTATTTAATGCTAGAGATAAAACAAGGACTATTTCTAGATTTCCTGTAAATATAACAATTAAATCTCAGGTTCACAATAGCTATTTCAGATAGTGCTTGTCAACACTTGCCTGTGTGACAAAACAGTGCAGGTGCTTGTAGGAGAATGTTGCATAGACAACCACAGAGTAGCCCAGAGACCATTCCCGGGTGTGTCTTTGAACCTTTACCATTGGTAGAGTCTGCACAGTTTCTAAACACTAGTGACCTTAAAGTGATACACCTAGATAAGGGGTAGCCAAAATGTGGCCCACAGAGCCCTACAATGTGACTCATGATTACTCTCATTTTTAATGTGATTGTGGGACTGCTGGACACTATCGGTCCCAGCATTGCAATGCTCCACATTCTTTTTAGCAGTCTCTCTATATGAAAGATAAAGGCAGCTACAACTTGTTCCACTTTATGACTCTCAATCTCCTAGTAAACAGTTATTTTGAGTCTCAGCTGAGCAAAATTTTGGCACCTCCTGTGGTAGCCCTACCATCCTTGACAAACACATTTGCAGTGGAGTATAATGAATACTTTTTTCCCCCCAACAGAAATAGTTCCTAGAGATTTGAGGATGAAAGACAAGTTTTTAAAGCATTTAACAGGTAAATTTAAATTTTGCATTGTATTCATTATTTCATACACATACCACCTAAGCCCCATTCCCCTTCTGCTAAGCCTTTTGTGCTGTATTGACTCATGACTTGTTCTTTTTCTGTATTTCAGGTCCTCTCTATTTTAGTCCAAAATGCAGTAAACACTTTCATCGGCTTTATCACAATACAAGAGACTGCACCATCCCAGCTTGTAAGTGCCATAAACCAAAGCTAACTTTTTTAAAACAGAAAGCTATTGATTGGGGTGGCTACAGGAGATAATAGTGGTAATACTGTGCAACTGTACAGTGCCTTTCAATTAAAGGGTTCAGAGTGCTTTATAGATATTAATAGATCTTCACCTCCTGCCCGTGAGGTAAGTATTATCATTCTCATTTTAGAGATGAGGAAATTGAGGCACAGAATTTCCAGTGGATATACTGTGTAAAATGATTGTTAAAACTGCTTTCTAGGATTCCAGGTTTATTGTCTCTTCATGTCTCCAAATCAAGTGCACTCAATTTACCAGAAAAAAATTAATTGCTAGTGCTGCAAACTTAATCTGGGATCTGAAAGCCAAGTGGGGCTACTTCCTTTTCATGCATCATCACTTATAACACATACTCTACAGACAAATTATGGCATGTTACATTTTGGCAACTTCATGGTCGTCCAATTATGTCGTCAATGGCACCTTTGAAACCCTCTTTCCTTCAGCAGGTTAGAAAGGTGTACTGTACTGGAAGTTAATAAACAAATCAACTGATGGATAGGAATGAACAAATGTCTCAGCTGTGTTGACAGTGCAGTGCAAAAAGGACTACAGATGAGCAGGAATTATTGTTTTGTCACAGCAGATTCTGAATACAAACTGGGAGCAGACCTGTTGTGTAAGAAGAAGCTATTTTTCCAAAGCCTTTTTCAGAAGAGAGGCACACTTTAACGTATATGTCCATGGTCACCTAGTGGGTCAGTTGAGGAGCTGGAAATAGAACCAAGACTTCCTGACTCAAAGTTCTATGCTTTAGGAAGGTTTTCTTCCCCATTTGTAACAATCTGTACATTTTAATATTACATATATTAAGAAGTGTGAGCCTTCTTCCCATTTAAAATATGGATAATCTAGTAGTATATTTGAAAGAAGATGATGGTCTCCACCTAATTTCTAGTGGACCAGATCACAAAAATCAACATCATATTCAGCACTAATTGGAACATTCAGCAGTGAAGCCAAAGACCAAATGGGCTTAAAGACTGAATTAGCTCTTTCCCCACAGATGCTTCATATTGGTGGGAAATAGCGGAGAGTTGGCACTGGTGGTGTTTGTACTCAACCTGTCTTATGAGTAGAGGGCTCTAGGGCTGACAATCTGGCACCTTTCACAAGCACAAGACTTACTTAAACATTAGTGAAATAATAACCAACAGTATAATGGATAATCAACCATAGATGTCACTTTATCAATATGTCTTTCAGAGAACTTCTCATGGAATCTTGAAATATGTACGCTGCTTTTATTTTCAGTGTATAATAGCCTTAGCTTGGTTTAGGTGGTAATGTGAGTACTGTACCGCTTTTATAATTCTGATTTCTGGTTACAGCTACCTACTATTATAAAGACAAATGAAACAAGAAAATAAAGCACCTGTGGTTTGCTGCCTTAGAGAGGGAAAAGACCTATCCCACTGCCAGTACAAGAGTATTTCCTCCAGTACATTTTCTAGTGCTTTTTGCGGTTTGGTAGTAGGATAGATTTTTAAGGTCAGGTTTTATATATCAAGAACTACTGACACTTGAACTGTAACCCAGGCTGCTAGCTCTAGGACTGCAGGAGGTCTTTAACTGAGCATGTGAGCAATCTTTGAATAATTCCTTTTCCATCTGCACTGCACACAGATTGCACTGTACACAAAACAGATCACTTGACTGAACTTCGTAGGTATGAATCATTTTCAACCGTGACTGCTTCAGTTTTACTCATTACACCACCACCACTCATTATCTGTGTAACAAGACTATGCAAAGATCTAAAGAATATAGTGCAGGGAACCATCCTATCCTGCCAGAGGAAACATAAGATGTAACTAGTCTTTTTTTTTAATTCTATGAACTCAAAGATATTTAGACCCCTAACTTCATTTCAATAAGAGTTAGATACCTTTGAAGATCTGAGCCTCCAAGACTCTAGTGCTCTGTTCTTCAATTGTTCTAGGACAATGGAGGTCTGCACTATTATTTATCTTGGTATTATTAGTTCACAGAGAGCCGCATTTCAATGATGGGACAGTGCCACTTCAGGCACCTAATTTGCACAATCAGATGCCATGATTGCAGCTTCAGATCCAACACTTGTGCACACCATAGCTAGTTAGATGTATAACTGGCCATATATTCATACACACAGGCTGTCTGCATGCACAATTGTGATGTTTGTGCACAGAACCAAAGAATTTGCAAAGAAAATGCACAGAAATTAGGCACCTAATATTTGAATGGTAATTCTTATGTATATGGGGCCAATGTCTGCCCTGTTATAACCTAAGTCTTTAAATCAAAGAATGATTAAAGTTAATTATGATAGTTTGCACAGCACCTCTATCAATTTTATTTTATTTTTTGAAACCAAAATCTGTGACTTTAGCAGTGTCATTAAGTTATTGTATTTATGATCTTTTTCATGGCAGACTATAAAAGATGTGCCAGGCTTCTTACTCGGTTGGCAGTAAGTCCAATGTGCATGGAAGGATAAGGTAAGCTTTTTGATAGAGGTAATAACATTCTACTGCATAGCAAAGCTGTGGATTTTGCATTGTGGACATAAAAAATTCATGAGTGTAAAAACAATCTTCCTTTGGCTAAGGTATTCCCTTTTCAGAGCACTTGACATAACTATCTTAATCTGGGAAAATACTGGCCATAAATAAAGGGTACCCCCTACTGGAAGGCATTATAAAGACCCATAGACATCAGCTGTGAATTATTCATAGCAGTATGCAGTTAGCAGATAGTGAATTTGCTTTTATAGAACAAAACACAGCAGCCATAGCTGATTTTTTTCAAGTTGACTCAGTGTACAATTGTGTTTATTGGCACTGGCTGCCCTTTCACATCCACAGGTTTAAATTTATTGGGTACATTTTAATATATACATAACTATACATATGTAAGTTTTTTAAACATAGACGTCATTGGTATTTCTAGAATAATTGTTCTCATGTACTCCCAATTTGTATGTTACTCAGATTTCTTTGGATTTCCATTATGTTCAACTTCTGCTCCAAGGGATTATTTTTCCTTGATGCACCTGCTTAACTCTTTTTAGAGAGAATGGGAATTTCAGTGCACACAAAAGGAAGAATGTCCTCCCAAAAATTTTTTATCTATACCTCTAGGAGTTGACATCTTGCACACTAGTCCATGTCCTGTCCCCCGTCAGCTGAGACAAAAATACAGTTGTATGTGATTTATTTATATGAGAATTTTTAATTTTTAATAAATTCTATATTTTAGTTTTCCCTGGATATTTAAGTAATATATAAAGTCACTAAATGAAGGTTGCAGGTCAGAATTATGACTTCAAATTAAGCCCAAGTCTTTTCTCATGTTTCTTGTCTCTCTCACTTTCTTCCCTATTTTTCTGTTCATACAAGACATAGCTTTACAAGTAGACTAAACCAGCCACAAATTAGATCTGTAGGTTCCTGGGGTACTATAGCTGTAGAAGTGCTCCCTTTTCTGAAAACTTCATTTACCCTTAGTAATGCAGTGGCAACTCCATGATCCAGATCTTGCCTGGATAAGGGTGAAATCACAGAACCTATTGCATATGGCACTTAAACTTGTGAGACTGATGTTGGGTACGTGAGGTAAATTCCTTGTTCTAGGTAAGGGAACTCTGCAGTTCCAAAGTAGTGAATTGTGCAATTCAGGGAGCAAGTTGGCACCTATCATCCATACATTCTACTGCAAAACAGATGGAATGGTACTGCTACAAATACCTGCCAGTAAGCATAGATGGGGGAGCACATCCTAAAATGCATTGTTTCTTTTCCCCTTTTCCTGAAAGTCTCTCTGCATCAACACCTCCCATTGGCATTTTATGAGTTTTCTGGGTGAAAAGGGACAAGGGGCAGCTTCTTTCAGGGGCACCTGTCCACTCAAACTTGGAGAGTTTCTATTAGAAAATCCATAATGCCAGGGGCTCATACTCTCCTGAGAATGGGCCATAAGGCACAACCTCTGCGGGGTTGTCACTGATCACTCAAAAATTATGCTGCTATTTGCTTTAGTGGGAAGAAGGACTGAGTGTCATCACAGGTGTCTCAAGATTCATAGATTTCACTACCAAATTTGGAAGATCAAGAGAGGACCTTTCTTCCTGTCACTTCACAAACTCTTCCCCATAGAGAATGCATTGAAACTGCTGCACAGTTCAACTTTTCCATGTAAGATATCTCCTCCTGTGGAAAAGCATGGTGGGGCTGTCATCATGTCCCATCACCTCCACAGAAGGAGTTCTGAAGAAAATAGTTCTCTTGCTCCTTTACACAAGTCAGTCAAACCCATCTCTGTGCAGGCTCTGGATAATTTCTGCTGGACCCAGCCTTCTGGGTGCTTTTAAGAGATATTCAAAATTTTGCAACATAATGCCAGTTTAGTACATATAGGTACCAAACTGTAAAACCCATATCATATACTTAAGATAATTAAGCTTATAATCAATCTCTAATGAATAAACAGCTTATATACAAGATAACAGAAAATAAACACTTCTTGCTTTTGCTGTCATCTTAGTAGCTACTAGTAAATCAAGAGTTAAGACAAACATTGAACATCAGGAACAAAGTTTTGCTTTGTTCTACCACTCTAAAGCAGTTACTTATGTGGAATTATTCCAGATTTACATGAGTCTAAAAGAGAGCGGAATTAGACTCTAAATTCATAGTAGTTATAATGAGTGATCGATCTTTGGAATATTTTGCCACATTGAGACGTTTCACGTATGCTCATTTTCCCCTCACAATTTATAGTCTAAACTCTCCTCCCCCGCCACTTATTTTATACTGCACCCTAAATTGAAGACAAAATTCATCGATGCATTCTTAATAAAATTACACAGTGATACATGGCTGCCTTTCCTCATTCATTATTGCCATGCTAACTTAAGTAGTGGTGTATAGGCAGTGATCACATATTTGGAAACTAATAAACCATACACTTTGAGGGCTCTTTCTAGCAAAGCATTTAAGCATGTGCTTAACTTTCAACTCATGCTCAATGCTTTCCTGAATTAGGGCCAGAGGATAAGAGGTCAAACTATGAAAATTCAGGAGAACTTTGACATGTACAATATATTTTTCTTCAATTTTAAAGAGGGTCTGTTATTCTCAGTGGTGGGTAGTAGTTGTCTGCATGTACTCACATCCCTCTATGGATAATGAATACACCTTTTTATTCCACAAGTTTAATATGACCGCATTGTTCTGTTCTTAGTTATCTTTAAATCATGCTTTTGGGCACCTCTACCTAGTGGGAGATAGAAACAAACTATCCACGTGGGCTGGTTATTCCATAAGTGCAGGGCTTCTTGCATATTCCTCTGAAGCATCTGATACTGGCACCTGTCAGAGACAGGACACTGCTAGAACCACCACTGGTCTGATTCAGCATGAAAATACCCATGGTCCAAACTAATTAAATGACATTATTTTCAATTTCCATGTCTGGAGTATTTTGTTGATACAAGTCAAAACAGTAAGAACTAGGGATTATTATATTATTATCTGGTGCTTTTCATTAGTAGATCTCAAAGTGCTTTAAAAAGAAAAGGCAAGTTTCATTATCCCTATTTTTGTTATTTTCTGTCTTGCTCAGTAGTTCCAACTTTTATTTCACTCACCCCTTCCCGGCAGCAGGCTATGGATGTATTAACGCTAGTGACCGTTTGGCAAGCTGGCAGTTAGCTTTTTGCTTATTTTCTTTGGAGATGCATGGACATATGTCCATGTTTTGAGATTATTTTGGAAAAAGGTTACATTTGTTTTGGATTTCTACTCACAACATGCTTGGGATTATCACAACTTCAAGGTAGGCAAGAGGCTTCAGATTCCAAGAGGGAGATAAAATGAGTAGACACAAAGACAGCATTTAAACAATTGTCTCAGTGACAATACATAACATTATGTACAATTTCTGCATAATACAGTCTTGAACAAAGGTGGATATTCACTAGCAAACCCAGCACAAGTTAGGCTGTGCGCTCTCAGGTTTCAACAAAAGATTCTTAACATCCCTCTCTGCCAGCAGATACACAGAACTACAAAAATGAATCTCGAGCAGGAGGAGCTCATTTACAGTTGCCAAAAAGGTTTAACCACATCCTCAACGAGAACATATTCTCCTTTGTTCTTTGCTCAGCCGTTTGTCTTAGACACTTGCCCCACGGCTGTCTATCCTTCCTTGTGAATCTTGGAGACTGTTGCCAAGATTTTCAGAAGTGACTAGTGATTTTGGGTGCCCAAACTGAGGCACCCTAAAAAGGCCCAATTATCAGAAAGTGTACATCATCCATTCTCTGAAAATCAGGCCCCTTTAAGGTGTCAGGTGAAGAATCTTAAAATTGTGGCACCCCAAACACTTTTGAAAATCTTGGCTAGTGTCTGATTGCTATTCATTATGAAGCAGAATAGCATGACGTTAAGTGTTATCAATAGGCTTAATTTTTGGCTGGATTTCTAGCTCTTCATTATGTACAACTCCTTTGTGCCTGTGAGTTTCCCATCCAGCTCCAGAGCTTGCATGTGGCTTGAGAGGTGCACATGCAGCCATGTGCACATGCAGTCAGGGATTTCCACACACACAAACGTGATCCTACTTTGGGGGTGAAAAATACGATTCCCTGGGGCAGAGCCACACGTCAGACACAGGGGCCTGTGAAATATTTCATATACAGCTTGCTTTTTCTACTTGACTGTAGTAAAACCATAACATGCATATCATATTAGCCATCTCCCTTTTAGAGCATAATGAATTTTTTTAACACCGTCTGAACTTCACAGTGCAATGAGCCCTGAATATTACACCCTTCTGTAATTTATTTTTTATTTTAATGGCTTAGCTGTTATAACTATTATCTTCATAAGCAAAGATAATTAACAATTATTTATTACAAAAATGGAGAATAAGGTTATAGTCATTCTTTATCTACAACTTTATTTTTTTCCAGCCAGCTACTTGATACGACTAAAGATTTTTTTAAATGGCAGTTGTAAAGAAATAAAAATGCTTGAAATGTACAACATAGCAAGAGTAGTAATGCAATTGATACACATCTTTAAATTAGAAAAATCAAAAGTCCCAACTATTAGTGAATCCAGGAGTAGTAAACTAAGGTGAAAAAATAACTTTAATACTGTGTATCAAGGAATTATCATGATCAGTCAGTGAAATAGTTTTTCTAGTGAGGTACAGTAACTATCAGTTTTCAAAGAAAGATCAGATCATTTTATAGCAGGAGAAACACTACTTCCTACTTAAAGATGCAGGTTCAATACACTGTAGGGCAAGAATAGACCTTAAATCATAAGGTATATAAACATCATAGGATGGTATATAGTCTTCTTCTTAGCAGTATCTTAAAACTGGGTGATGAGAGAAGTATTCTTTTGATGCACAGCTCAAGGAGTGTAAGATAAACATTGTTATTAAAAGTTATCTAATGTGTTAACATTTGGTTATCTTCATGAAAGTT